AGTACTTACCTATTTGATTTTTGGCGCTGGTGATTAGATATTTTGTACATTTTTGATAATTAACCAATAGCTATATGATGATTATATCAATTACAGGATATTTTCGAAATTAGAGCGATACATACCAAATATGGAATGTTGTTTGTTGTGTTGTTTTTTTTTTCTTGAAAAATCGTTATAAAAGATGCTTTCGATAGATTTTTTTGCTTGAAACGATGAGCAGAAAATCGAAAATATGGTAATGAATCAGCCTCAGATTAGCTTTTCAATATTGATTTATCAAATCAGTGAAAAATATATTATTTTCAAAAATGGCTCTGCTGAGTTCGCCCGAAGCCAGCAAAGCCACAGGTTCCTTTTATGAAATATATAGGAAAAAATTCCAAAATGGGATAGTTATCGAGCTTACAATCAATACTAACACTTTTCCTCATGAAATCGTCATAAAATATGCTTTGATAGAAATACATAATGTTCACTGGATGATGTGTATTTCGACAAATCGTCTCGTATTTTTTCTGTTCGAAACATTGATTGAAAAATTCAAAAATAGGGTAATTAATTAGCCTCAAATTAGCCATTTGATCTCAATATATCAGATCGGTGAAAATTCAATGTTTCCAGAAATGGCTCTGCTGAGTTCGGCCGAAGCTAGCAAAGCCACCGATTCTTCTATATTGAGAAAAGCAGAAAAATTGGAAATAGGGTAATATATTAGCCTAAAATGAGCATGACATTTTCACCATATCAGATCATCGAATAATATTGTTTTTCAAAAATGACTTTGCTGAGTTCGGCCGAAGCTAGCAAAGCCACAGATTTTTTTATATAGAGGAGCAGAAAAATTGGAAATAGGGTAATATATTAGCCTAAAATGAGCACGACATTTTCACCATATCAGATCATCAAATATTATTGTTTTTCAAAAATGGCTTTGCTGAGTTCGGCCGAAGCTAGCAAAGCCACAGATTTTTCTATGATAGAGAGGAGCATGAAATTCGGGAATGGAGTAAAACATCAGTCTAAAATGAGCCTGAAATTATGCGATATGTCTCATGTTGAAAATCGAAAGTGGCTTTGCTAGCTTCTTTGGTATTTTGAATACACTTCCTCAGACAATGAACCCCAGAGCTTTGCCGTTCTACAGACAAACGAGATTTAATAAACTGCTGTTCGACCTATTTCGAAGTTGACAAGGACACGATGTGCTGTCTGGACTTGTCAAGTTCGTCTGACTGATATGGCTTGTAATGGAATGATATCAGAGATTTTTGAAGAATATTTCTCTTGGTAGTATCTATATGACCTTTCTACGGTTTTGAATGTTTTGGTGCTGAACCCCATACGTGGAAACAGGATTCTAGAACATGCCGTATCTGTGCTTTGTAGATTATGAGAAGTTGTTGCGGTGTAAAGCAGCTTTTCGCAAGAAACGAAAATCCAAGTTTTTGTGGAGCAGATTTCACGCCAATGAATCTGACCTGATTATGATTATTCTCAGAAAGAGTTTTGCTGATTGAAATACCGAGCATAGTTATAGTGGACTTGGTGGGAATGGTGGCATCAGACATAGTTATATCAGGTACTAGCTGACCTGGCAAACTTTGTTTTGCATTAAACATTATTTCTAAAAAATATTTTTTCAGTTAAATATGTATCAACACACTTTTTCTTTTTTATTTTCCACTTCTATTTAGTTTGGCTATCCATCATAAAAGTGTGCTTCATTAGTTTTTCAAACTTCTATACATTATTTTCTAGATCCTTTGAATTCATTGGAAACCAAAAAACGCATACCTATACCTACCACCAAAAGGATTCCTTCTCGGATCTATCTATAGATATATGTATTCCATATAATTATTATTACCTGGACATTTATCTGTGAATGATTGAATCAGTATTTCATTAATTTTTTTTTAAATAATATGGAAAATGTAAAATGTCTTATAAATCTTGGAGTAATGCAGGTTGTAAATCAACAGACATACATTTTACAATATGCAGATGACACAGCATTAATATCACACCAGAGAACCAAAACAGCCGCCATTCAACAACTCCAACAATTAACAAACCAAATCCATACTTGGTTCAACAAATGGAGACTTCAAATCAACCCTCTGAAAACGGAAATGATAATTTTCAATCATACCCCATCCATCAACTCTCCCACTATCACTATCAACAATCACCAAATACATCCACGCTCCACTGTAAAATATTTGGGGGTCCATCTTGACCACAAGCTGAATTTCAATCACCACACAGCAATTGCAAAAAATAAAGTTAAGGGAAGAGCAAAGCATTTCAAATCTTTAACATATAGAGACCATGGCATCAACATCAGCACCGCTAGTAAAATCTACAAATCAATTTGCAGACCAATATTAGAATATGGCCACCCTCTATTCCTGAACATAAGAAATCCCGCAATGAAGAACCTGCAAATCGCCGAGACCTCCGCACTACGAACCATCACTAGAATGCGTCATCCAGACAATGTGCTACACAACCCACCCAATGATCTGCTATATTCCACGACCAAGGTGCAAAGGTTACAGGATAGACTGCCAACACTGTCTAAGAAATTTGCCTCCAAGCCTGAGAACATGAATCTGATAACTCCACTGATTCTAGAAAGGACCAATGCTAGACCAAGAAACAAATTTCCAGAAAAGTCGCTGATAACACTACTTCAGGATCTAACCGAAATTCCATAATATTTTTTTATTTAATGTAAAATATTCTTGTTTTTTTTTTTTTTTTTTTTTTTCAACAAAAACTGTCTTCTCTCTGTAATCAACTCAAAAGGAAAAACATTTCAAGAAGAAGAAATAAAACATATTGGCTGAAGGACTCAGGTCGATGGCCAGTTGATTGTATTGTACATATGATCAATAAAGCACTTTATTATTATTATTCTTGGAGTAATTTTTTGCTTTCCTCTCCTATTCTAATTCAAATTTTGCATATGTTCATTCTTCCGAAACCAACGATGCTGCATTGATTATGGTATTTTTGGATATATAATTCTCTAACTAATAACTGTCTGAGAGATTTTTTTTCTCTAGCATACCCCTCCAAAGACTGATGGTGATTTGTTCTTTCTATGTTCTTTTCACAGCTTTTACTCAGTTTGATCTCAACTCTTCTATACATTATTTTCTAGATTCTTTGAATTCATTGGAAAGCAAAAAATGCATACCTAACCAAACATCAAAAGGATTTCATCTCGGATTCCATCTATATATTCCATTTAATTATTATTATATCTAGGACATTCCTCTGTGGAATGAGTAGATCAGTATTTCATTAATTTTTTTTCAAAATATTATGGAAAATTTAAAATGTCTTATAAATCTTGGAGTACTTTTTCGCTCATCTCACCTATTCTATAGAAATGGCGGTATGAGGATGATAAGCAACCGTGTTTTTTGTTGGCTCAACTTTGCATAAAAAAAATTAGTCTACCTATATACAGGGTGTTTCATAATTGGATGTCAATACTTCGGGAGGCGATTTATGGGCCCATTCTAAGAAGGAAGTTTCATATGAAGGTATGACCTAAATGTCCTAACTTTTGAGATACAGGGTGGTAAAGTTCTCAAAAATAAATAGTTTTTTATTAATATCTGATGTAATACCACTTCAGATATTCTTATGAAATTTGGCATACATGTACTATATATCAAGAGGCATCAGTTAGTGTACCACATTTCTTTTGGTTGCCATCAGTGGCATTCATATGGAATTTCACATACCTATTTTGGCAGACATTGATGGTATGCCACCAAGTACGAAACTGATTGATCTCGAAATCCCCAATTTTTTTGGAAGCAAATTTGATCACCACCATTTTTTCTACCTGATGCATGGTTTTCGCTGGAAAAAATCAAAAGCTTTTCACTAAATGATTATAGCAATATCGTTAATATAACAATATCACAATGCAGAGAAATAGATTTAATTTTTTAGATCAAATTTCAGAAAAAAAATTCATAGTTAATGAACTTCGTATTTGTATTTGGTATTTTGTAATTATAACTTCTCATTGTAGTATAGGCTATATTAATTTTTGAGACCTTTAACACCCTGTATCTGGAAAGTTAGGACGTTCAGGTCATACGTTCATATGAAACTTTCTTCTTATTTGAACTTCATGGGAGGAGTTTATTTTTGTTTCATATGAAACTTTCTTCTTATTTGAACTTCATGGGAGGAGTTTATTTTTGTTAAGTGCCATGCCCACAGGGAAAATTCTTCTTCACAGTGCCTCTGCTCCCAATTTCCCATGGGAAAACCAAATAAGATTTCAGTAAATAAAAATTATTTTTGGAGAGTACTACATACAATCTGTGCATCTTATGGATTAGTTTTTCCATTTCTGATGCCATAACGTAGAAAAAAATTCACAAAATCGGTCAAAAACGCACTACTTTACAGGTGTTTATAAATTAATCTATGTGAAAAAATGAAAGTCCATTTGATAAGATGCATGGATTGCACCTTTGACTACCCAGGAAAAAAATTGAGCCTCTAGCATGATCCATAACCATAGGGGAACTTGGGAGCTGTACCTCGTTTATTGGCGGAGGCGCTGCAGAATATGCCCTCTTAACTCAATTGAATGTTCTGATTGGTTTATGATCATAGGAAGAAAATAATATAGTGAAATGTTCAAAATCACATTACCTACCACCTCCTTTCAGCTGTAGGTACGTCGGTGAACCAAACACCCTGTATATTGAATGATAACATCATCAATAGTCTAGAGACAAGTTAGTGTTCATTGGTAAAATGTGATTATAAAAATGTGGTCATAACAAAGATATTGTGACATTTCTAATTTTTTTTTTCTTCACCTCACTGTTGATTCACTGTTGATCATGATGACCCATGGAGCAGTTAGGGGTACTAACATTTGTGAGTAGCAGTTGGAGGTTGACGATTATGAAGTACTTACCTACCTGATATACCTACTAATGGTACCTACTTACTGGAACACAACTCTCAACGCCTCTGGATCCGTAAAAGTACTCTCTGTTGTAAACAACGATTGAGGTGTGCCAAATTCCATCTATTTTCTTTCCTGTGAGAAAAAAATTTAAAAACTTGACCTCATCTTTTATGGCACTCTTTTCTTTACCCAATAGCATTGGTGATATTGTGGCGGCCATACCTCCAGATAAATCATAAATATACAATTGAACTTTCTGTGGAGACATTCTCCCTAATTTCGGTCTGAAAATTGCGATCTCCGAAGTCCGAGGACCAAGGTATTTAGTAGAAGTTGCGGTTCCGATGACATTCAATATTTCAAAACAAAACGACGGGAAAATCCAAATCCTAATGTCAGGTACAGACAGATGACAGATTTTCGCATTTCAGCTGTCAGTGCTGCCCAGAGGGATATTTCAAAGAGGAGAGGTAAGATGGAGAGGGGACCTATTATTCTTTGGATATTTCATTCACATTACCCGCCCATTACCCGCCATGGTTAAAGCTGATCATCCAAAATATGCGATAGAAATTTGATTCTAGGTAATAATCCATCCAGGTTTCAAAGAAATCATGATTCCTGAAATGATGACATCTGTTATTCGTTTCTCTATGCTCCTAGAGCATTGATTGTGGCAATACTCCGATGATTCGATCTCTTTTATCAAATGAAGTAATCTGTCTTTTTCTTCTAACAAAACAGAGGTCAAATCATCCATTATGACTAACATGGTTGCACACAACTTATTTTTTCATTGTTTATTTTTATGGACATGATCAATTAGGTTTGCACAATAACAATAAAACATAGATAAACAACAAATATTTTTCGGATTCAAAATGAAAAAACCTGAGGTTATAACTGAAAGGTGGATTTATGCAGCAACATTTAACAATTATCAAGTAACATTTATCAATTAACAATTATCAATTAACAAGTGATGGGAATATTGACATTTATGCATACCAAATTAACAATTTATGAATAAAAAGTACGCAAGCGCACATGCTCGAAATAAAATCATAAACATAACCTTTCAAATTTGTTGTTTACAATTTTGAATTTACAGAAGTGGCTCAAATTTTGAAATTTAAAATGTTTCCGGATTTAGAAGAGAATGAGTTTATTTTTATCACAATCATGTTATTAACTGCCAGTTTTTATTATTATTAATTTCCATCATCTGATGACATCTGTCAGGCTCAAGATCTGACCAATCTCATACTTTCTCTATCAGTCGATTAAACCAATCCGCGGTCATCTGCGTACCAGTTGCGCACTAGAAGAAAACCTGGTTCAATTAAAGTAAGAAAGTTAAAAGTTGGCCAACTTCTTACTTGTTACTTGTTAATTGATAATTGTTAAATGTCTGCATAAACACCCTCATTGAAAACAGGAAGTTGAACTTTTGATTGCTACTTGTTAAATGATAAATGTTACTTGATAATTGTTAAATGTTGCTGCATAAATCCACCTTACTGGGTGAAGTGAAAGAAATAGGAATTCAAAAATGGTTGATGTTGACGTCATTATGACGTATATATAGTTGCCTTCCATGCCTCCCACCACTTAAACCAATATACTATAACCGGGTTTAACGGGTAATGTGAATGAAATATCCCTAAGGATCATAACCTGACATTGTCTGCTAAATATGGAGAAAAAATCTAGTGAGCAGCTCACTAGATTTTTTCTCCATATTTAGCAGACAATGTCATAACCTATAGAACTCTCCTTGAGTGCTGCCAACTGCGATTAGTATTTCTAGCCATTTTCAAACTCATTCAGCTACTAAAAATTGCATCTAGCCATTTAGCCATTTTTTCTGGCTATTTTGTATTCTGACTCTATAAAATTATTTTCATATTCATAAAATTCTCATAAATAGTGATTTCATTGGTAAAACTAGTGCACAGTCAGTGTATACATTTGTATTTCACGCCTCGTCCAAAGAGATCACTAAAGCGGCGTTCACAACCAAACTTTTTACGTTTTGCTTTTTACGTTTCGCATTCTGATTGGTGAAGCAGAGTCGAGAATTGACATGACGTTAAATTTCAGATTCCTCTTCACCAATCAGAATACGAAACGTGAAAAGCAAAACGTGAAAAGTTTGGTTGTGGACCCCGCTTAAGGTAGAATCGCTTCGCGCGCTAGTTACCACCTACTTACCAAGTTACCACCCTTGGCGCCGCCGTACATATCATACACGAAGTGTACGAAAGTGCTACACTTTTCGTGCAAAAGAAAGGGCCTATTACGTCATGAGTTACATTTCTACTAACCTTGGTTTGTGATGTTTGACGTTTCTTCAGCGCCATCTAGCGGTTCGTGATTCTTGCGAATTACATTTTGATTCGGATTATTTGATCCTTTTTCAAGGATATCTAGTATGAAAAAATTAGACCCAGGGAACAACAGAACAACAGAGTCTTCAACCAGTGTTGCCAACTTAGTGGATTTCACACTAGAACCTGGTCGTATGGGTTCTCGTGTTGTGACAAAATATGACATATTATGGATGGTGTTTATTTTGATGAATTTTCTCAAATTTATGGTGAAATCTGGTGGTTGAGGACCTGCATCCAAAATTTTCCTTGTTTCATGAAAAAAATCTGATCTCTTCAATGAAAAACTAGAGAAGAGTTATAGAGAAATACGGCTTTCAATTGAAATCACTGTCCAACAGTTATATCCACATTTTGGCTGTTTTTCGCAGGATTCAAATGCTATGTTTTTTTTTCTTCATTCGTTCTAGTTCCTGTTGGAAACATAATAATTTTCCTAACAAGTGCGGAAAGTGATACTTTCCCGCACGCAAATGCCGTTGACCCGAACGACGCGAACCGGAGTTCGGGCAAGCAGTCGAGTGCGGGAAAGACACTTTCCGCATGAGTTAGGAACAATATTTTTTGTACAAGCGTTGGAAATTGATTGATTTGTTGCGCCTGTGGCGCATTTTTATTTGATTCCGTCAGGTTTTGTGTTTTTTGACTGACTTGGCAACACTGCCCTGAACTGACCATATGAATCAATCACCCAGTTGAATCAGAGTTGAATGTTGCTTTTGTACGTTCTCGTGATATTGTGATTCACAGTTTCTGCTTACGTAATTTTTTAGAAAGGGCAAGCGAATATAGAAAATGCCCCGCCGTGGTAGAGCATCTCCATCTCCTACAAGGTACATAAATAAAAAATATGGTGATTCTTCCATACATGTACATGCATTACAATTTCTGTGTAATAACAATGTCAAAAAATAACATGTGGTCATCAGGACTTAATTATTTGAATACTTGACGTTGCCTTATAGATCAACGCTTCCGGCTAGGACTCCACCTGCAGCACCAGCGCCCCTACATGCGGCTCCCAATGTACCAGCTCCTGCTCCATCCCAAGGTCCAGGTCTCTTTGGACAAATGGCAGCTACTGCTGGTGGAGTTGCAGTTGGCTCAGCAATAGGACACACAGTTGGACATGCAGTTACTGGTAAGTAATAGTAAATTCATGGCTAATAATATCTGATATTATTCAATACATAAGCTTAGTAGTTGTAGTAGTCTGCTAGCTGATATATAGTCATAACCTTGGTCCTAACTTAAGAATAAGTATGGATTTATGCAGCATCAATTTACAATTATCAAGTAAAAACTATCAATCAATTATTAAAGAAGCAGTAGCTTGAATGCTACCATTTATGCAAACCAAATTGACAATTGAAAATAAAAAATACACAGGGGCAAATGTCCTTTCCAAGCCATTTAAGATAACCATAGAACCTTTTTTCATAATATTTTAAACACATTTTTGGGATATTGTTATAACAAGTTAGGCCAAGACACAAAAATAATATAGGAAATAGGAATAATGAAAAGTAAAAACAACCACAAAATCTGGAAATGTTTTGAGGTTAGTTTCTGTCATAGGATGGACCAATCCTTGGAAAAACTGGTTCAATTAATGTAAAAATTTAAAAGTTGACCAACCTTCTACTTGTTATTATTTGATAAATGATAATTGTTAATTGTCTGCATAAACACAGTTATTGAATATGGCAAGTTCAACTCATAATTGATAATTGTTATTTGATAATTGTTAATTGATGCTCCATAAATCCACATCTATCTAGTGATATATTGCTTAATTTGAAATGAATGTGTTCCTCTAATCCTACTTGAAGATGTGTATATCTCACGATATTTTGTTGGGAAAGAGTTAACCCCACAAGCCCCCTTTTTTGGAATTTTGAAAAAAAATCATAACTTTTTCTAAATACACTTGGATGGTTTTTTTATGAATATGCCCCTCTAATGGTATTTGCTGATGTGTATATCTCACAATATTTTGTTAGGCAAGAATTAACCCCACAGGCCCCATTTTCAGATATTTAAAGAAAATCATTACTTTTTCAAAACACACATGAATAAGAGTGTTTTCCCATGAATATGTTCCTATTATGGTACTTGCTGATGTGTATATCTCACAATATTTTGTCTGGCAAGAAATATCCCCACAGACCCCCTTTTTTGGAATTTCCAAAGTAAATTATAAAGTTTTCAAAATACAGGTGGATGGGAGTTTCTTCCTATGAATGTGTTTCTCTAATGCTACTTGATAATGTGTATATTCCACAATATTTTGTAGGGCAAGAATCAACCCCACCTGCCTTTTTTTTTATTTCAAAAAAGAATCATAACTTTTTCAAAATACATGTGGATGGGAGTTTGTTCTATGATTCTGTTCCTGTAAGGGTACTTGATAATGTGTATATCTCACAATATTTTGTCAGGCAAGAATTAACCACAGGCCTCCTTTTTTTGGAATTTCAAAAAGAAATCATAACTTTTTCAAAATATGTGTGAATGGGAGTTTTTTTCTATGAATGTGTTCTTCTGATGGTACTTGATGTGTATATTCTATAATTATGATATATAGATATAGATAATATATAAATATATATATTTATCCTCTTATCAATCTTGCGTCCATGTATTGACAATTTTCATTTAATCCTGCGTCCATCGCGATAGTGCGACCGTATATCGGACGCAAGATTACAATCCATGTTATTTTCCCGCCAATGCATTGAATTGTTGTACTGAGTCCCTCATTAATACCATCATGGGACGCGGAATCCATTCTCTTTAAATGGTTGCTTTATTGTTAGCCGTTTGGGAGATATGATGATTTTTTGGTATCAAAATCGGACGCAGCATTAATAAAAGTATAAGAGAATCGAATATTTTTACTTGGCACAAATGCCGTCAGAGGCGCTATCAAATATACATTATGTATATTAATTTTTCATCGTCTGATGGATGCTGCGACCATACATTTGGCAACACTGTATCTCAATAGAGCTGCAATTCTACATAAAGCTTTCTTTCTGATCATTCAATGGATATATATATATATATACAGGGTGCCCGTTTTTCGAGCTCCACCATGGGGATCTCAGTTATTATAAGAGATACGAGGTTGGTTGAATCAAGGCAAAGTTGCGCAATTTGATGCTGATCAAAATGCCGATTCAAAAAATTCGAAATTTCGAATACTTCCGAAGATATTTGGAAAAAACCGAATATCCGCGATTTCGTTTTTATTTTTTTCTGACTTTATTCGGAGTGATAGTACAAAATGAGTGACATATTAGCATTGCCACTTTGTCTGCTCTATCCAATGGCATTAATAGATTCATGATCCAACGTTTCGTCTTCGAGGAGCCATCATCAACTTTGTATTTTCAAATGGTCGAAAAGAAAATGTTTGTTCCCAAAGAACTCTAATTCCGATTCTGAATCCAACGACATATAATACTTCAAAATTATCCGACGTTTCGAACCAAAAAATCAGTTATATTCAATGATGGTTATGACGACAACTTGTAGCGAAGGGAAAACGGCTATGAAAATGTCAAATTTATTTTGGTCTATATCTTTTAGTAAAATCAGAAAGAAATCATTTCATAGGATTAGAAACTTCGAGAATCGCCTTTTGTTGAAAACTAAAATAGAGAGACCAAGATGAATTCAACTTGTTGGTCTATCTCTATTTCAGTTTTCAATAAAAAGTGATTCTCGAAGTTTCTAATCCCAAGAAAAGATTTCTGATTTTACTAAAAGAGATAGACCAAAATAAATTTGACATCTCCATAGCCATTTTTCCTTCTCTACAAGTTGCTTCCATCAGATTTTTGATCCGACGTTTCGTTTCCTCGTAACCATCATCAAATAATACTGATGATGATTTTTTTGGTTCGAAACGTCGGATAATTGTAAAGTATTATATGTCGTTGGATTCAGAATCGGAATATGAGTTCTTTGGGAACAAAAATTTTTTTCGACCATTTGAAAATACAGAGTTTATGATGGCTTCTCGAAGACGAAACGTCGGATCACGAATCTATCAATGCTATCGGATAGAGCAGAAAAAGTGGCGATGCTAATATGTCACCCATTTTGTACTATCACTTCAAATAAAGTCGGAAAAAATAAAAACGAAATCGCGGATATTCTGTTTTTTTTTTCAAATATCTTCGGAAGTATTCGGAATTTCCAAACTTTCGAAGCGGCATTGTGATCAGCATCAAATTGCACAACTTTGCCCTAATTCAACCAACTTCGTATCTCCTATAATAACTGAGATCCCCATGGTGGAGCTCGAAAAACGGGCACCCTGTATAGTTAGAATCCCATATAACGGACGCCCCAAGATGGCGGAGTAACTTTTTTAACAACCTCATCGACATGGGTATCAAATTGAAGGGTTCGACGAGTGGAATGTGAGAATCCTAGTGATGTTTTCCTGAATACAATATGACGGACGCTCCAAGATGGCGACTCACCTTCATCACAACCCCATCGACATGGGTATCAAATGAAAGGGTTTGAAAAGTAGAATACGATGAACTATGTGACGTCATTTCAAATCCAATATGGTGTATGAATATTCAGCCAATAAGTTTTTAAGCATTATAAATATTGTGTGGATTTTACCACGAATAGTGTGATTTGAATATAATACAAAATATAAATAGTGTCATTCGAAATCACAAGTTGATATTAACTTCGTGTTGATCGAAGAACTATTTTAGCAAATTCGGTTTCAAAAACATTTCAGAAATTGATTTCAATGCATGTCTGAATTGACTCATCAACGATCTTTCGATCCGATAGAGATGAATATTTCAAATTCGGGGAACTGTCGAATCGAATGACGTGAACTTATTCGATTGATGGAGATCAATCATATTCAGAAATTTTGGTGGAATATTTTTTTCCTGGATATGGATAATGCGTAGAGCGCTCAATCATCGCTAGATATATTGCTACTTGTCGCCCCACGCTATCACTAATACTCTTCAGTTCCGTATAACCGAAATAATCTATTTCCTTTTTTCTGTGCATCTGAATATGAGCGTGGTTTATAGAAAGTTTTTTTTTTCAGAATATTTCGTTTTTAAGTTTTTCAGTCTGTCGTCTCGTTATATTCTGATATAGATTTTCAATACAAATTTTGAATAGAATCGGTCCATATTCTCAAAACCTGTACGCTATTCTGATGCCGCCATCTTGAATTTTTCGATTTTGACATGAAAATCATAATCTCCGAACCTGACAACCCCCAGATTCTAATTTCGAATCAAATCTCTCCATAAACACAAAACTTGTCCGCAATATTGAAGCCGCCATCTTGAATATTAGAATTTAACAAGAAAATCGAAATCTCCGATCACGAAAATTCCCAGATACAAACTTTGAAAAGAATATAATAATTACAGAACTCGTGCGTCATAATGGGGCCGCCATTTTTATTTTTTCAATTTTGACAGAGAAAATCATAATCTTCGACCCCGAAAATCCCCAGATACCAATTTTGAATCAAATCGGATGAAAATTACCAAACTTGTCCGCCATCTTTGATTTTTCATTCTTGACAAAAGAATCATCATCTTCGACCCAGAAATCTCCCAGATATTGATTTAGAATAGAATTGGATCACAATTACAAAACCCGTCCGTCAAATTGAAACTGCCATTCCAAATTCTCAAATTTCGACAGGATGATCATAATCTCAGACCCAAAAAAACCCCAGATACTAATTTTCAATAGAATCGGATCATAATTTCAAAACTCGTCCGCCATATTGGAGCCGCCATCTTAAAATTCCCAATTTTGATAGAATAATCATAATCTCCGACCCCAAACACCCTTAGATATCAATTTTGTATAGAATCGAATCATTATTACAAAACTCGTTCGGCTTATTGGAGCCGTCATTTTGAAGTTTCCAATTGTGACAGGATAATCAAAATCACCAACTCGAAAACCCCCTGATAAAAATTTTGAATAGAAACGGATCATAATTACAGAACTCGTCCGCCATGTTGGAGCCGCCATCGCGAATATTCCAATTCTGAAAGGGTAATAATACTCTCCGACCCCGAAAATCTCCAGATACAGATTTTGAATAAAATCGAATCATAATTA